ATAGGTTGTTTCATAACTTAAAACTTTGTAGAAGACGCTATGTCTGTATCTACTTGCGATTTTGAGTAATGAAGCGTTTTTTTATAGAAAGGCCTAAAAAATCAGTTTTTTTGTAAATATTTCCAAAATTATTTGTTTTTTTATGACTATAATGTTCACACAACTTTACTCAAGAAAAGAAGGTTCAATATGCAAAACAGAAAAAGTTATAGGCAATATCAGTTCAAAAATAGGCAAATTTCAAGCATCCCTATCAAGCATCATGTAAAATTAAGTGCTCCGAGACCTAAAAATTTGTAACTCGACAAAAAACACCTATGATTGAGCTGAATGTTTTTCGTCTGTTATGATTCAATTGTATGTTAAAATTGACGCTCGTATATGTCAGTCTCAGTCAGCACCTAAATTTACATGTTTTTTTCTAAGTGTGTATGCTGAACCCAAGGAGCAATGAATATAGTAAGTAATTATCAAGGTTGAAGCAAGTAACGATTTTTGCTTATGTTTTTATGTTTGAAAGGTATTTTTGTTAATGTTCCGGGCATTTCCATGCAGAATGTTTGATACTGTTCGGTACATTAGGGTTCTAACAAATGATCTACGGCAGAACATTTTATGAATTTTTGCGAATTTTCGATATGTTGGTATTTTTTGCCAAGGAATATATTTCATTCTGCATATGCTTGCATGCAATTTTTGAAAGTTATGTCCATTGTATTCATTTTCTTAGAGTCTAGAACGTCGTATTTGAGTATATTAAGAGTATTGTTATAGTTGGTGATGAAATAATGTTGCAAAATATTATATTTATTTTCGTGGCCATAAAAATGTAATGTTTAAAATGAGATTTTCGACATGATTGAAATGCATCCTCTTGCATGTAATATTAAAATTAATTTTTTGCTATGTACAATTTAACATTACTAGCATTCATTGAATCAAATGTAACAAAAAAATCATCGATTTGTAGTTTTGGCAAACTTTTTGAGTCAAATACTCCTATGTGCTATGGGAGCATCCACTAATTACGTCACGGGAAAATTGTCCAAAATTAATACTTCCTTCTCCCCTTGCCACAGATTGTCACATTTTCCTCGACCCCCCTTTACACCGTTACGTAATTCAATCATTGTCCCCCCCCCCCCCTTAATGAACGATAAAAAAATCTTGAATTGGGTAGATTAGGGGTATTGAGTTAAATACATATTTGTAATCTGCATTAAAAATGGTATCAAAATCCAAAATGTCATCAATTTTGGTGCACTATTTGTTTTTTTATAACTGTGATTACATTAGCAAAAATCACCATCTTAACACCCCTAGGTGAGACTTTTATGGGAGCGAGGTGTTAACAGTTTAAATCTTGATTTAAAAATCAAGATGAATCCCATGTAACTTTGTTAGTTTTATCGTGGTTTTAAAGCATTCTACAAGTCTAAATCATGGTCTACAGAACCCTCATAAAACCATAATTATTACTTGGGATGTCTATGGGACCGATAAAAATATCGTTGTGCTCAGAAAACGACGCTCTTTCAGATGATATATAAATTCGGTATGTTTTTTTTTTTTTCGAAAGTAAACAAGCCAATTTAACCAAACAACGCGACTAAAGTTCTATGGATTTCTTTGATGTTTTACGGACTTCTCGGAAGTTCAAGGCTGTTTTTTTTTCGAAAGATCCGTGGATCTCTCGGAAGTTCTATGGACTTCTCGGAATTTCATAGAACTTCTTTAAAGTTCTATACGCTTCTCGGATATTCTACGGACTTCTCGAAAGTTCTACGGATTTAGGTAGTTATCAGAACTTTTCGGAAGATCTACGGACTTCTCGGAAGATCTACGGCCTTCTATTTTATTATATTCTACTGACTTTTGAAATTCTATGATCTTCTCAAAAGCTCTACGGACTTCTTAAAAGCTCTACAGACTTCTCGGAAGTTCTACATACTTCTTGGAACTTCTATGGGCTTCTTGGAAATATTACAGTCTTTTCGGAAGTTATACGGTCTTTTTGGATGTTATACGGACTTATCGGGTATTGTATGGACTTCTCGGATGCTCTATAGACTTTCCGGAAGTTCTATAGACGTCTCGGATATTCTACGGACATTTCGGATATTCTACAGACTTCTCAGAAATGTTACGGAAAAACTACGGCCTTCTCGAAAATCCTTGATTTTTGGTATATTATAGTTTTCGAACTTCTCAAGTATCAAAAGAAAATTTCATACAACTTCCATTTTCGACAGCTCGAATAACATCACCGCAATTTCCCTACAACTAGAACAACTAGAAACATATGACAAGATTGATTAACCCTATTGTTCAGAGAACTTCTTAAAATTTCATAGATCTTCAAAATTTCATAGACAAGTACACGGAACCTCCAAAAAGTTCAATGGAAGTTCTGATTAATTAAAGGATCTTACGATAGTTTTGCGGATTTTTTTTACTAATTACTAGTTAACGAAACACTCAATGTTTCTAAGGTTTTTTTTTCAACTAGTTCAAGGAACTTCCCTCTTTGCTATTCCAAATTGTCGAAATCTCGGGATAATTACTACATAGCAATTTTAAGAGGCAAACCTCTTAAATAAAAAAAAATAGCAATTTTAAACCAAATGAGCTTTCAACTCATTTTGAAAGTAAATAAATGTTTCACATAGCATAGATGTTGAAATGTTGTGATTTTTTGTAAATTCTACTCATTTCAATGATCTCATGCTATAAGATCTCACAAATAAAAATTATAAATATGGTAATATGATGTCACGGTTAAACAAACCCCTTCCCCAGTTGTCGCATTTGGTCACGTTTTCTTAAACCCCTCCTCCCTTAGATGCGTGACGTAATTTACAGATGTTCCCTATTTATGGATCGTACTCCATGAAATGTTAACCACACTGCTTGGCACGTTTGCACGGTCTCGGAGGTATACTATCAAGCCGAAACATGTGGTCTTGCTACTGTAAGCGAGTTTTTTTTTGCTGGAAATTACGCTCTCACGATATTTTACCCCTCATATCAGTGATATTTCTAATATGGCAATGTCTTAAGATATTCATATTTTTTTTTTCCGGGACATAAAACTACTGCGACCAGTAATTTGATCTATTGTAGTATATCCCGTGTCCTTAGTTTAGTGCATGTCGTATTACTTCATCACTATTGAAAAATTATGAAGTATTCGGTTTTGATACAGTTGTCATTCTTGCCTTCATCGCAAGGAATCGATTCTAATTGATAGGTTCCGCTATTTATACCCTTCATATTTGGTTACTGTATGTTTTTTTTTTGGTAAAACATACCCATAAGTTTTTATTGTCGAGACAAACTCACCCCACCATTATGGATCAGTCAATCTAAAGAGTTAAGCTTTGCATCATTGTCTTCAAAAGACCATCTTCTCGAAAAATTAGAACTAAAAACTACTATTTTTAAAGTACCTTCATAGATCACATCATTCGAGCAGCTTAAAATGACGTTTACCGTTTACCTACAACTCTAACTTTGCAGTGGAACAAAATTTTCATATTTTTCTCCTAAGAAGCATGAGGCAATAGGGTTTTTCTTATGCTAAGCTTGAAAAATCTGGATTTTATTGCTTCATTTTCTTAAAATCGCTGATAGATGCTCGTCCCCAAACTGCTCGACAATATGATTATTTGATAACTGAACAATTGCTGTAACACGGTCAAATGAAAAGCCAGACGAATGGAATCCACAGCCGAGTTGCTTGAAACCATGTTTTTTTACAATTACCTTTATTTTAAATGAGGACCACCCTATTCATCTTTTGGAACAAAAGTTTCATGACAATCCAAAACCGCCAAATGTAACAGTTTAACTATTTTTTTTTTGCTGCTAAATTGTCGTTTCGGGTCATATTGTATTGGGCTGATCGGTTAGTAGGCCGAGTTTTCTTGGATTTCATAAAATATTTTTTTTTTATTTTCGTGCCGGTAAATTTAATTTTTGGATCAGTTTTGTTCCGTTCCAACCAAAATCATTTAGGCTATAATTGTGCTTTTTTTCAACAGACAAAATGTACATGGAGCACTATGTTCCAGTTGGGACGAACGTATTCGAAAAAAAAACTTGCCCTGAGCTTAGTGTTTCACAGTGGCTAATTGAGATGTTTCTAAGCCGGTACGATTTTTATATTCGTAGGTACATTGAGTGATAAGTAAAATGATACTCTATATTCATAGGAAAGGGGCTGTTCATAAACTACATAGACAATTTTTTTTTTGGATTCTTGACCCCCCTCCCCCTGCGTAGACAATTGTCCATACAAAAAAATTAAAGTTTGTATGGACCGTGGATAATTGTCCACCTCCCCCTAAACTGTTTACGTAGTTTATGAACAGCTTCAAAGTCGAAAAATGTCTACACCAGATCGGGAATCGGAACCCACCGCCTCCGGCATGGTCTTGCCTTGCTTATTTACCATCTGAGCTAATTTAATTCACTCCTTCCAATCATCCTGGTAGTTATCTTTCTTCTCAACGCAACCTTATCTGTTTATCGTTAATGTCCGTCTAAAAAAATCTTATATATTTCTGATAATCATTTTTCCTTCGCCTCCTTCAGAAAATTATATTATATCTTTTTTTTCGCCAATGCATATATACAAACAAAAAATATTTCCAAAAAATCACTTTTGTTTTTCGAAATCTTAAATGAAGGTTAGATCATTTCTGCTAAAAGGAATATTCATCCTGTGTACCGTCGAATGATAATCTAATTGCATATACATGAAACACCTGAGAGGGCTTACTACGTTTCCCAAGCACCTATTCTAATTTAACTAACAAAACATGTTTACTCCGAGTTGGCTATTTAACTATACATGAGTTATTTTTAAATGAACTGAAGGACTCTCGACTAGTGTGTCGCACCACCGTTTGGATGATTATGATGATGATGAAGATTATGATTTACAAGTCAAAACTAAACTTGCCGTTGGCTGTTCTACTTGCAGCATCCGTAATTACCTTATCCATAGTCATTTCCGGCTGTTATCCGATTTTTATGCACCACAGAGTTATTGCGACGTTTAGTTAAAATAAATAGATAAATACGTTTCCTTAAACTATTCACAGCCGACCGTCGATACGCATCCAACGATACTTGTTCCTTACTTCTCTGGTGACAGCTAAGCTTTTGCAATCCACTTCACTCGTTCATTATCCTTCTATCAACTTTCACACGTTATTCATTCTATTGATTTTTCGATTCACATTCGATTGCCCAATCTCCAGAAAAAAAATTCAAAGCGATCTACAATACGTAAAAAACACTCCGCGTTTCCACCGTGCTACACAGAACCGTCCCGTACGAGATTTGCGAGTTAAATGTTAGTCGTCTAGTGAACGCGCGCGCTTTTTATCAACGAGAAACACAGGAGATGAAGTGCCACCGCAGCAAGGCTGTCTGTACTATAGACAGTAGATGACTGTGCTGCTGCTGCTGATGCTGGATGTGGGAAAATCCTTCCTACTGAGGCGCAGACACAATCAGGAGCGTTTAGAAGAACAACACTTTTAGTTTCGGCCGACCGGAGAGTTGCCATGCAACAATCAGTTTCGGTAGAATCCATTTCTTGATTGTCGATTGACTTCGTGTGAAATTGCATTCATTATTACCTACGACCTTTTTTTCCGAGAAGGTGTAATAAAACCACGATACAACTCAAATATTTGCATGGGACCGTCCCAGTTCGTAGATACACAATTTTTGTTAAATTATTTATGAGGTTTTCAGCCTAAAGACATAGATTGAATAATTAAATGAGTAAGGTTTTATGAATTGTGTGTGCGTGTCTAGATTTAGTCTTTTAGTTTAATATTTTAGTATTTTTATGAAGACATCAAGTGCATAGGGTAAGTTTTCCAGTAATAGTGGTGTTCCTATAGTCGTATAAGGGTGGAAAACTCGATGTATTTATTTTTTGTCGGTAGCTCTCCTAAAATAAAGTAGATTTGCATGAACCAGTAAAAAAAGTTATCTTCCATTTAATTTTACTTAATTAATCTTGGTATCCATGACAGATACGTATTTCGACTGCAATTTGCTGTCTTTAACAGTGTCATTCCCACTAAAGACTAACCCCCTTAAGTACCCATCCCCTAGGTAAAAATGTCAAGACATACGAATCGTAAAAAGAGATGATCAACACAATTCGTACCTTCCTCAAAGTTGTCCTTGCTCGCTTTCTACTCTCTATATACAATCTTCACACTGCCGTACTCTAACGGAACTATCAACTCTATGCTTTCATTTTCTCATTTACCGTATAAAAATGACCACTTTAAGTCTGTCATTTGACGCTTAGCATCTTCAACATTGTAAATGTAATTTATTTATTGATCAGAATGTTCCATCCTGAATCCTTGAAGTGCAACAACTAGGTCAATATGCGACCACAGCGTAAAACATGGCCGGTCTAAAAACTTGTTTAAATATTAGAAGTTTATTCTTCAGGCAAAGTTTGGATTTCCTGTTTATAAGAGGATACAAACATTTTATATATTTGTTACATTTGGCTTGAATGCCCTTAATGGGTACTTGAAAGTTAATTTTTGGTCAAGTTTTAATCCAAGATATTTCACTTGACTTGATCAAGAAATTGGAACTCCGATCATAGTGACTATGTGACTACTACTAGGTTTCATGTAGAAATATTATAAGTTAAGTTTTGGAAGCGTTGGGAGAAATCTGCCATTTTTCCAAATAAGAAGAGAAAAGATCTAAACTTTTCTGCAGTTTGCTGCAAATAACACGAAGACTTCTTCCTTTAGCGGAAAAGCCTGTGTCATCGGCGAACAAAGATTAGTGGCAACCATGAGGCAAATCAGGGAGGTCCGAAGTGAAAATGTTATACTATATAGGCCCAAGAATGCTACCCTCAGGAACTCCAGTTCTAATAGGTAGTCGATCAGATTTAGAATTTTGATAATTTACCAGCAGAGTTCTGTCAGTTAAATAATTTTGAACTAATTTCATAATATAGAGTGGAAAATAAAACTTTTTAATCTATTAATCAAACACACTGTCGAATACTTTTTCTATGCCTAGCAGAGCATCTCCAGTTGAGCAGCCTTCAGATGTGTTTGAGCGAATTAAATTGGTAGCTCTTAGGAGTTCATGAGTAGATGAATGTTCATGGCGAAATCCGAACTGCTTATCTGCAAAAATCGAGTTCGTATTAATGTGAAGCATTGTTCTATTCAAAATTATTTTTTTCAAAAAGTTTACTTATTGAAGAAAGCAAAGTTATTGAACGGTAGCTAGAAGCTTCAGCTGGATTTTTATCCGGCTTCAAAAATAAAACAATTTTGCATTTTTCCATTTATCAGGAAAGTATGTCAAATGGAAACATCTGTTAAATATAATGAGAGAGAGAGAGAGAGAAGGATTAGTAATTTCCACATAATTCCACTACCTTATTTGCTTATCCTTGACAGATACGCGTATTTCGTCTACAATGTGCAGACTTCTAGTCGAGTATTAGTACAAGACACTGAAGAAGTCTGCACATTGTAGACGAAATACGCGTATCTGTCAAGGATAAGCAAATAAGGTAGTGGGAATAAATGGAAATTACTAATCCTTCTCTCTCTCATTATACAGGTATTCCACTAAGACCCCAAATTAATCAGGATTCATCTGTTAAATAATTTTACCAAGAAAAACAAGGTACTCTCTGGGAGTTTTTTTATGAGGATATAGAAAATTCCATCATCACCTCTAGCTTTCATATTATGAAACTTTTTAGTTATAGATCTTACTTCGTCTTAATCTGTCCCCCAGCAATCATCAAACATATTTTCCCGAGAGAAAATATTCAGGTAGTCCCGAGCAACCTGATTCTCAATAGGACTAGGGGGACTAGGGGGAACCTTTTCCTTTTTGGCATTAAGCCGGGAATGTTTAATGCAATTTTGCCTGGATGATAGATCATTCGCATCATCTGTAAGCGTATTAAATTGATTGCTCAATTGAATTTCATCAAAAGGGTATCAAGTGATTACCCTTTTCTTTCTCCAAATCGACTTCCAAGCAGATTACTATAAGAATCCGAAGGACCAAAGATGAATTTTCCAAATATATATATATGTTTGTACAGTGTTGCAAAATAGTTTATATTTGCGTTTAAAAACTTAGAACGGAATTGTCCCAGAATGAGTATATTTAGATTTTCATTCTGACAGCACCATCGTGTTCCACATCCTTTTTTTTTTACACAAGAAACACTTATCAGCAAAAAGTGATTTTAAAGCAAAGAATGCCAAAAATGACGAGAAATACCATTCTTTTCAAATTTGTTCGTTTGCTTTTTATAAGTAAAAGAATTTATTTTTCTCGCCTACTGTATCAAATATTTTTTGAAACAAGAAAACAAAATCAAGAATAAATTGTTTACAGTGTTATCAAATTTTAAGATTAATTTTCCATCTAAAAACATGAATAGGGTAGAGCACTACTTCGTCGTAATCGCCCATTTCCGTTCTATCGATCAGAAAAGATCAATAATATCAATGATTTCACCATGCACAAATCAAAAATAGATTTGTTCTGATGCGTAAGTTCATTAGCTACAATATAAATCCTATTAGAGCGCATTGTATGAATATTTACGCTCATTGTTCTCAAAACAAAAGAAGCGCTCCAAGCGAATCCCCTTTTTCTACGTTTATCCGTACGACGAAGAAAATCTAATGGCGTTTCAATGCGTTACGACGGAATTGAAACTCGTAGAACGAATTTAGAATCAAGAAGCAGTGTTAGATTTTAAACAATATCTCAACAATTTGTGACTCTTTATCAAATCCGACGGTACGTACGGAAAGGTGAATAAATGTAGAAGTCATCTTTGATAGAAATATTCCATTTTTTATTCAAATCCGTTAAGAAAAGAGAGGTAAAGTGCGGGTTGTGCTTAGTAGGACGGAAATTAGATCAAAAACCCTAGAAATTTTTTATTTTTTATATTTTTTATTTTTTTTTTCATTTTTTTTCATTTTTTTTATATAGGAGAATTTACGTATTCTCGGCAACCTAAGCAGCGACCTTCGTTCTATAGCCTTTTTCTCTAAGGAACGCACACATATGCAGTATTGGTTTGTTTACAATCTTTTGCTGCCAGCTGCTCTAACAATTTCAGTCGAAAGAATTGTCAAAAACTGTTTTGAAACGCTTTTACAAAGTTCCAATCTTCTCTAGTGAGAGCGAGTATTGTCGGCAACCAGTTTTTCTTCGGCAACCGTTCCATTTAAATTGCATGTAAATCTGCTGTTCTATTATCGGCAACTCGAAATCAGCTACAATTTGTAGTGCGTGTGTTTCATTTCAGAAAACCTTGCTAGATTGCTTTTTCTCAGTGGTAAAAGTATAGTCAAATTGAAGCTGAAAGCATAAAGAATCGTTTGCATGCATTCAGCGAAGTGTTTTCGTAAGAAAATCCAGTGAAAATAGTGTTTCAATTGGGGTGGCCGAAAATAGTCTGGCATGCCGAAGCCGTCATTTCCCCTATTTTTTTTATTTTTTTTTATTTTTTTTTATTTTTTTTTTCATTTATTTTTAATTTTTTTTTTGACATTTTTTTTTGTTTGCCGAACGAGGTCGTACTGGCTTGTTAAAGTGAAAATTTTTGCTATAATTGCACTCTTTTTCCGCACAAAACGTAGCTTCCCGATTGCTGGAAAGACTTCCAGTTGTGAATTTGGTATTTTGAGCCGGAAGTGACTGAACGACAGTTCAGCCTGTGTCAGTAGCGCCACCATCGATTTTATTTTCCACAACACCACTGACGCTTTGGAGGATGGGCAAGGTTAAGGAAAATAAACCGAATTCTGATAGCGAGTCCAGCGAGGAGGAGGAGTATGTCGTAGAGAAAATCGTCGATCGACGAGAACGAAAGGGTAAGGTCGAATATTTCCTGAAATGGAAGGGATACGATTCGTCAGCAAACACCTGGGAACCGAGAGAGAATTTGGAGTGCCCGGAGTTGATCAAGGCATTTGAAGATACTCGCACTGCGGCAAAGAAAGAAGCCGCCCCAAGGAAAAAGAGAAGGAAAAGGAGAAAAAGAAACCTGCCAAACCGTCCTCCACGAGTAGCTCGAAAAGAAAGGCCGATTCGGATGCCGAGAATGATGGATCAGACGATGATAAGGATGGCTCTGCGTCGACCAAGTCAAGCAAGTCGAAGACTGCTGCAGTCGATAATGATGCTGCTGCCAGCGATGATGGAATGAATGGATTCGAAAAAGGTTACGCCCCGGAGAAGATTCTCGGAGCCACCGAAGCAAACAATGAGCTTTTATTCCTGATCCAATGGAAGGACAAGGACAAGGCCCAGCTTGTGTCGTCCAAGGAAGCGCGCAAGCACTGTCCCCAGCTTGTCATAGACTTTTACGAGGAGCGTCTGATCTGGCAATTATCCGATTCGGCGGAGTAACTCGCACGAGTTCAATTTCCCTACTTTTTTTTCTCCGTTACAAATCGAATGGGGCTGAACGTTTTCCTTGATGGATGTAAGCTTAGGATTTTCGTTTTAAGTATGTCAACAAATAATTATTACGACCCGGAACTATGTATGTCCAAGATAAACAAGGCTTTTATTTACTGATTTTGTAATTGATTGGCTTGAACTGTATTGATTTGATGGATATAATCGTAAAAAGCTTGTACGAAGTAATGCAAGGCCATAGAGTAACTTTACAGCAGAAAAATAAAAATTTCGGACAACCAAAAAAAAATGAAATGTTTCCCCCGATGAACACGGTGGGTAGTTCAGTCCATGCTGAAATATAACCATTAAATGATAGTGAAATTACCGTAGATTCTATTGTTGACAGTTAACTCAATAATAAATAAATTTAATTTGTCAATTGGTCATAGGATTACCTCAATTGGGTTACCACATAGTATCATGCATTAATCGACGATCAACGATTTGGTGTAACTGGTAGCTCGCCCACGCATGCTAACACTACCATCAGATAGGGGAAATTTTCGGGCTACCAGTTATGCCAAACCGACGATGAAATGCATTGCTTTCAAAACCTGGGACGTATCAGCTTCGAAAAAGTAATCGAGATCTATGTAGGGTAGAGCGCTACTTCGTCGTAATCGCCCATTTCCGTTCTATCGATCAGAAAAGATCACTAATATCAATGATTTCACCGTGCACAAATCAATAATAGGATTGTTCCGATGCGTTAGTTCATTAGCTACAACATAAATCCTGTTAGAGCGAATTGTACAAATATTTACGCTCATTGTTCTCTAAACAAAAGAAGCGCTCCTAGCGAATCCCCTTTTTCTACGTTTAGCCGTAGGACGAAGAAAATCTAATGGCGTTTCAATGCATTAGGATGGAATTGAAACTCGTAGAACGAATTTAGAATCAAGAAGCAGTGTTAGATTTTAGACAATATCTCAACAATTTGTGACTCTTTATCAAATCCAACGGTACGTATGGAAAGGTGAACAAATTTGCAAGTCATCTTTGACAAAAATATTCCTTTTTTGTTTAAACTCGTTCAGAAAAGAGAGGTAAGCCGCGGGTTGTGCTTAGTATGACGGAAATTAGATCAAAAACCCTACTATCGTTAATTACATCAATAGGAAAGTATTAAAATATATCGAACAGAGCCTCTAAACAATACATTTTTACTGAAAAACAGCCCGAGCAAAGTCCAGCATCAAAATGACAGCAAATTGAAATCAAGTTTTGATATCAACATCATACTGAAATCATAATTTGTAATTCACAAATGTGATACCAATTTTTTTTTTTTTCATTTTGCTGTACATTTGCTCTTCAAAAATATGTTGTTGCGGGTTTGTTTTCATTGCCTTAACATAACATCAAATTGAAGACTTGTTTTGTTATCAACAGGAAAAATTTATATCAATTTTAGTTTTCAGTTTGCTCTCACTTGATAGCAGAAATAGTTTTCAATGTGATGTCACAGGAAGATTTTTTTGCTCACAATTTTGATATTTTAATCAATAAAACGACCAAAAACGACAGCAACATGAGTAATCATTATCAGCGAAATCACATCAAATTTAGATTTCAATTTGATCTCAGACTTTGCTCGGGAGCTTATACAGCCGAATATTACTGTATGCAATAAAAAGCAAGCTTGAAAAAGCTACAGTTTATAGACGTTGTGAACACATTCCATTCAAGATGCGTTTCCTTTTTCGCAGGTCGTTACGTCGGAAGCCGTCCCATCAAGCTACGTAAAAGCACTTGGAAAAATCGGAGCATCGAAGCGGTTCGGAAGAAGGACAAAGAGAAACAAGCCATGCTTAGTCTATTCACTCAAAACTAGTTCTTCTTAAGGTAATTCAATGTGGTTTGGAGGTGTGTCTTTTCCTATGAATCAGTAGTAGGTAAGTATCAACCAATGGTTAACAATTTAGCATTTCATTTTCTCACTACTTGTATTCATTTTTTCAATATAACAATGCGCTAGTTTTTTATACCATTTTTAATTAACAGTTCTACCCATTCTCTTGAATATAAAACACCCTCCAGCTTCAGTGCAAGACTCTATGTACTATACTATGGTACTATGTACTATGATTGTATGTAGATAATAAATTTTCTAGAGTATTATGTCATTGACGGTTATTAATTTAAGATAGGAAAGAAATCCATACCATTTTAATGAATATGTAATTGAATGACAGAAATACATGTTGAACTTAAACTTGTCTTGATGAGAGCAGAGTTGCAACCTATCACAATCACGATCGCCAAACAGCTGATGGTAGTAACAGTAACCCTTTGTACATTCCTATCAATGTGCTCGTCGAAGCTCCCATGACCATCCATCAAGTTGACGAAAGAAGTAAAAAGCAACTGGTGAATGTCGTCTTCTGTTGTGATCCATCACCGATCTGGTCATTCCCGACAATCACGACACTCATCTGTGCTCGTTTTGAAGCAGTTGCTGCTTTGCTTGCTTATGTGAGTGTGTTGGTGAGTGAGCCAAACAGCTTCCGTTTCATGTTGCCTGCTTTGTTTGTAACTCACACAGTCGCGCCTGCCGAGACGAACTTGGAATGCGTAGGCATTGTTTTCATTTTCTTCTGTCGTTACGCTGTTTCTCACGATCGTACTGCAGAAGTCTTCACTGTTTTCGTTCTGCTTTTCATCATCAGCAGCGAGTGTACCGTTTTAGGGTACGGCCAGGGTAGACGCGATTCGCGACGCGACGCGACCAATTCAAAAGAATCTTATTATTTATTATTATTCCTTGCGTGAGTCGCATCGCGTCGCGTCGCGTGTCGCGTCTACCCTGGCCGTGGCCTTACTTGTGAGCAGCGACCATTACTGGTGATTGTTGTTTGCCATGGCTCTAACTCTCACTGCGTGACAAAACGATCTGTCAGCGATAGTCGGTTGATGCGAAGACGAGTGTCACGTGAGTGTCATGATATTTTGCATCACTGGATGAGAGACATTAGAAATATAACAGCAACCGTCTACAGGTTCTGATGTAAAATTTGTTGCTTATTGTTGTTGCAAACTGTTAGTCTGAGACATAAGCGCAAACCAAAAACTTGCCCTTAGCTAAACATGATTTACCTTCCAGCTGTTATGAACATGTCAACTTTATGTTAACATTTGCGGGATAACGTATTAACCTTTAGAATTATATTTTTATAACTGAGACCCGATTTTGTCAGCCCCTTTTTGAAAATCTTTTCTATTGTTCCACGAAATCTATGCGTATTTTCAGTGGTCTTATTGTACCTAAGTATACATTAAACATCCATATTGAAGATGATTGAGAAAGATTTGGAATTACTGTTATGTGAAACTATTGAGAGATAAAAGGCGCGGAGGGGCTGACTAAATCGGGTCAGTACTGTAATTTCAGAATAAGATCTAAATGAAAACCACAACTATTTTTTCAACTCTTTAGTTGTTCAAAATTGGAATCAATTTATATACATGTTTTAACCCAACCTTATTTGTTATGAAATATATAGGGGAAATGTATGTAATGTCGGCCTAAGTGTCCCTAATTTGGGCCCATACATAAATTCAGCAATCGACTAAATTTTCAATAGCAACCAAAAATATCCGTCACAATGACGCGTTCATCTGGATACAATTGATAAATAGCAGATTTTTAGCGATGGGCCCAATCTTAGATCCATAGGCCAACATTAGAGAAATTTCCCCTATGTATACTAAAATTCAGAACAGGAAAAGCATGACAATCACCATTGCCTGCCACGCTTATCTTCGCCGTTACGGAGAAAGTAAAGAGCCTGAATTTATAAAGAGGTCAATCTTATCAATTTGACAGGTCTTCTGCTCAATTGGAATGACTTTTCCTATGACATTGACAGACAATCGATTGTTCCAATTTTTAAATTCAGGCTCTTTAGGAGAAAGGAAGGATATTGTTGATGTAACACCTACTTAACGGGAAGCCAGCGACTCACCAACGCTCCCATAGATGCTACGGAGTTGGATAGTTGGGTAGGAGATGAGTCAGGATTCGCTTAAGCAAGCGATGCGACCATAGTAATTGCTTTGTTTTTGGAGGAGCTTGGAAGTAAACCCACAATCTTCTACTCAGTAAGCAAAAGCGGCTGCCACCAAGCTAAAGTTTTCACAAATACTGATTGAAATATAATATAAACCAATAAAAAGGATGGGTCTCACCCTAATAGCACCGGTTGAAAACTAACGATTTTAAATTGTCTCAATACTTGACTAGCCTATTGATCCCAAGCAAATCGATTAACGTACCCCATTCTAGTCGAAATTCTAGTACTACACTATGTTTGTTTTGATTAGCTATGAAAGTTTGACAGATAAAATGAGGGGTTCTTGGATTTTCCTATGTTTCGAGGATTGCATCGATTAGCTTGGGATCGCAGAGAGTACCAGAGCTGAGCCAAAAAGTTGAGCACGTTTCTTCGGGACCTTCTGGTCTTAGAGTTACCTCTATGCTAATAGTCTATAGTTAGCCCGTCTTCTCGTGTTTCCTAAGTTGGATCAAAATGCTTCTCCCAAATGCAGCACCTGAGCTTGGAATTGACGACTTTTAGTCAATATTCAGCACCGTCTCTTTGAAGAAAAACCGTTTCACGACATACGCAGTGCACGGATATCTTCTAGTTTCTTCTTATCTTACCGTGTCAACACTTGCCAAATTCGATTCAATCAAAAATTTAGAATTAAGAATTTAGAAAATAATAACAATTTATCAAAATCACTAAAGAAAAACTGCAGTTAAACCAAACCACGTCAGTTTTTCTGCGGCCTACTTTTATTTTATTTTTGACCTGCGTGTCAGTATAACAATGAACCATTAAGGCCGTTCGCAATGCTGAGTTTCAAAATTGTTTTAAACTACTCGACAATTCTATAATTTGAAACTGTCAAAAATAAAACTGCAACACGATCAGCGCAACGCACAGTTCTAAAAGATGTTTGTAATCATCATGCTCCATAAACTTTACTATTTTCTATGAAGTTCTCCGTTTTTTTTTTGTGAAGCTCTTCGAAACATCTTTAACTACATCCTAAGAAATTTGAAACAGAGTTCCATTCGTGTTTCAAACTCGTTCAAAAATAAAACAGAATTGTCGAGCAGTTGCAAATCTGGTGCAAAATAGTGCTCGAATAATGAAACTGCAACTCAGCATTGCGAAAGGTGCGTTTCTGTTCTAGTTTCAAATTGAAACAGTCCTTATAAAATACAACAGCATTGCTAACGGCCTAAGTCAAGGCTATTTTCCAAACAGATGGCGCTGCTCCATTGGTATTAAGTAATTTAAGGGGTTGGCCACACAGCACAGTGTGCGAAAAACAAATATGGGCACACCTGGGCACACTAATTGGCACTGTTTTGCACCCATGGTACACATGTTTTATGATGTTTAAAGTAACTGGCAACACTGCACTATTTCTGCACGTGCGTTAAAATTTGATTGTTGACACAAACAGTTTTTGTTAATTGCAACACCGACCTCGATCCCCAAAAATCGGATTCGGTATTCTCTACCGGCGAAGGTACAATCGAAAGACGTAATTCTACTATTGCTCATCACCATGGAAGACACTCAAGGAAGTCCCGGCTCCGTGAGATCAACCTTCCTCGGCCGAAGTGGTATGTAGAGTTTACACGACGCTTTATTTCACCTCACAGCACCGCGAACACCTCCCTAGGGATCCACAAACGAAAGCTTCGGTGCACCCTCAGGGAATAGGTGTCATTCAGTTAGTTGAATTTGAATAGATATTCGAACTTCAACATGCCACATAACTTCGTCTACGCCGAGGTATACGCTGAATCCGCAGCCCAATGCAATGGTAGTGGATTCCCGGGATCAACCACCTTTTTTTTCTGAATGTCGAGACGATCACTCTGGCCTTCACAGAGTACTGACCATAGATTCAGAGTCAGTGACGATATCAATAAAAGAAATATTTTAATACATTTAAAAATGACTTCTCAATTTCAATACCCCATAGCAATATCTCGCGTGTGCTTCCGGCATTTTCCTAGGCCAGAATCATTCCCACACTTCTAAGGAACAAAACTTACTGAATTTAATTTACTATTATGTGTTAAATTGAAGTAAATTTTTACATTAAAATAAATACTCATTATTAAACTTAAATTATTCATTTTTTCCGGAACTGGCCAAGGCCACTCAAACAATACCACACTGTAAAAAGCAACGTTTTTCATATATGTAAACAATGCTGCTTCTGCTCCGGCATACCCTCCACAGTTCCTCTCGTCTGGGATCTATCCGTTTCCCTGTAAGGGATCAGCGGACTAATGTCAAGTACCATCCAGAAATACGATCGGAACGAAGCTGCTTGTCGTGATTCCTAGGATAATTTTTCGTTCTACGACGGCAGCTGCTGCTACCACACCGGCCATTCTAACATCCATCAGCATAAGAAAATCATACCAGTTCCAATCGGTGTACTGCCGAAATTATCCCTAATAAACACTTACCATAAAAGAACTGTATCGCGGATGGGTAAACTGTCCCACAAATGGTTTGGATGCTACCCCGAACACGTCGTTAAGGGGAAGCATACCGCTCCGAAAATGAGTTTCGATTTTTCTAAAATTATTGGGAACAGATATCAAAAATCTAAAGAAAAAACATTTTTTCGTGTTTTTTAAATAAAATTCACGTGCAAAAATATGTTTTGTTATTTATCATGGCATAAAGTTGGACTCAAAAACCTCAAAACATCAACTTTTCGGTTTTGCTGAGAGTCCAATATTTTTTCATGATGAGATAGAAAAACTATTTTAACATGTAAATTTTCTCAAGAATCTATGGAAAACCTGTTTTTCTTGGATTTTAGATAATTTTTTTCCAATGTTTTTGGAGAAATAAAAACGAGCCGAAAATATATTTTTTTTTATTTTCGGGGTGGTAATCTTCCCCTTAAGGCCCAAGCGCAATGACAGCGGAAGCGGAACGGCGGCGGCACCGGAAAAGCCCGATATGAGTAAGCCTACTTGTCGGATTGAAAACTAGTTAGAACCAAATCGACTTCGGTTAGGCATCTTGATGTCTTTTGGGACAACTGTCAAACTTTCCGTTTCCGTTCCGCTTCTGTCCACATTGCGTTGGGCCTTTAAGCTATCTTTTATGGTTATTTTTATTAGGGATATTACGCTAGCTTTCGCTTTGTAACATTGCAACTGTAAAAAACTGCCAATCATACAATTAATCACCAACAAAGTCAGCCCGATGTTCGGCACTGTAGGCACTGTCGGTACAGTTGGCGCAGCGCGACACACTGAGACAAATGTAGGCGCAAAATAAGTATGTAGAGTGACCACCCCTTGGGGTAAGACGGACATTCTACACTTTGAAAATTGCAGATTGTTTTTATGTGCCCGCACGGAGAACAAATTATAGCAGACGCAATTATTTTTCCGGTCAAAATAACTATATTGTTCAATTGTTTTAGAGATAACCCGAAACTGTAGTTGATTTGACTATATATAGAGGGCATCAACTATAGTCCATAGTTGGCTCCTCGGTTGGCTCAACTATATTTTTCAGTAGATGAACAAACGTCAAACTTCAAAATACAACTATGCTTTAGTTGATTCAAGAAAACTATTGTTAGGAAAGCACAATTTAACAATGTTTATTAAACGAACTGCTCTTCATTATCGACATTTTAAGGAAGTTTGTTTTACTTTTTTATCGATCCAAAAACACAACTGCAAAATCATAAAAAAGTGAACAAGAACATTCAGCTTAGATTTGAACCGTGTTCATCTGCGTGAGAGCCAGCTATCTTATCGCCTGCTCTACGCATCACAAGTTAAAAGTATGTAGATTTATGATGATCACTTGAAACCAAATTATATAAATAAATTACATTTGACGGTTGTTATAATTGATCAAAGTTATAGTTGAATTGAGTATAAGATGAACAGTTGAATCTATTAGGTAGATATGCTTGAGTTGACGGTCGAATTAATGCTGGAATAACTATAGGTTTCTTTCAAACAACAATATTTTTCCATGTGAAAGTAACTATTAGTATTGGTATCTTAACTTAACGACTCTCGGAATAACCCCCCTTGTTTTATTGTGCTCGAATGATGCTGCTGGTGAAAACTTCACCCCGGCTTTCAGTCGTAGGTACAATAACTAGGCTAGTAGCAGGCTCTGCATGCTTATATGTCCTCAGCCATGGCACACAAATTGACTGATGAGAAAATACTTTACGAGTTTCAACCTTCCGAAGACGAAAAAGCCGTGGTATATGACATTCAAGTAGGATTTCAAGATGGCTCAACATTTCTTTGAATCATCCTTCACTTTACTTTCAGAAATACAACGGTCCAAGAAACAGTCGTCTTGAGCCCCATGGTGAAGGTAGAGCAAAATTTGCAAATGGAGGCCGCTATGATGGTTGTTTCCGCAAGGGTATACTGCATGGAAAAGGACGTTTGGTACTGCAAGACTGCTACCGTTACGATGGCCATTGGTATAAAGGTCTGAAACATGGTATGGGACGAATGTATTACCCGGATTGTTCCCAGTATGAAGGAGAATTTCGAAAGGATCAACGACACGGTTTCGGGAAGTATCTCTATCCGAACGGGGCACGCTACGAAGGGAATTGGTTCAAGGATCATCGACATGGTGTTGGATGCTACATTTTTAGCGGGAGTAATGTGATCTTGAAAGGCAGCTGGATTGCTAGCGTTGCCAAAGGTCCTGCTGAAGTGATTTTCGAAGATTGCCGATTCCATGGATACTGGGACGGAGATCATCCAAGGGGACCCGGTTGTTTTACTTTCGATGCAAAAGCTATGGTCAAGGGAAAATTTTATGTCGAAGAAAAGGAGGGTAGTGATTTAAAGGTTTTGATGTGGCAACCGGAAGCGATCGAAAAGTACGAATACTCGAAGCTACCGCTGGAACCACTCCCATTACCAGTGGATGAATCGGATGTATCAGAAATGAGCTCATCTGATGACGATGAATGTGGATCGTATGGTTCATCTCTTGTTTTGACTGAATAAATCTATTCGATCATACCTAGTTTTATAGCTACACTCAAAATAATTGACACGTTATTGTTACGTGAAAAATCACGTAGAGTCTCACATTTCCCTTTCCTGTCAATTGTACGTGGCGTAAATAGAATTTACATTCTATCACTTATATATCAAAGGATATTCCATTCGAAGCCACTAAGATTTTCATTGAAACTTACGTGATTTCCACATACATAAATTCTATGTGCGTTTCACGTAAACCTTAAGTGATTTTCTAGTGTGACAAAAATGAGTGACCCACTCGCGCATTTAGTATGTTTACATGTCAATGATAATTTTGTTTGTTATTTTGTTGGCTTTACTACAAATTGTAAGTAGATAGGATTGAGATTTTTCATTTACAATAATTAAATGTATGCTCCTTTATAGTTTAGTTGAACAATGGACGACAAGGTGTACGAAGGTTTTGAATTGGAGTTATAACGCATGATTATCATATTCCCTTATACGGTTTGTTCGTGTCGGATTTCGGATTTTATTATAATTCCTATGTTTTCAAATGTAAATATGTAGTAATAAAGCAAATAAAATAGTTTTTTTTTCTCCTTCTCGATACATATGTATGTACCGTGCGGGACCGAAATTCGTACACCCTGTTGAATTTGTTTATTTATATGCATCATAACAATGTAAATATTAAACATGAATACATATTCATGTTCCTTAATGCATTAGCTTGATGTTTACGTCAACAATTAAGCAGTATGTCATGCAATTAAAATAAGAAAAATAAAAACCTTATCACGTGTCGAGCATTTCTGTCAATCGGTTGCGTTCTTAACTATTTTCTAAGAAAATCTCTCGGATGTACTACCAGTTGTTAAGCGTATTTAAGTGATTTTTGCAAGTAGTTTCCTGAAGATCGATCGGAAAGGTAAGTGTTTATCGTTTTATATCTCAATTCTAAGCAATGGATCATTCATATGATTTCCCTGTATAGCAAAATTTCAATTAAGGAAGAAACCATAACGAATGCCGTTTTCCAAAATAGTCTGTTTTCCTAAAAAAAAGTTCCTGTCAAAACCCTAAATGAGAAAAAAAATCAGGAGTGTTGCTCTTCAAAATAAATTTATATTTTTTTTCCTCCATAGTGTCCCGAAAGAATAAAGGTTTCACAAATTCGTAGGTCTTACAAGTCTTAGACCATTGTTTGGGAATATTGCAACCTCCGTCAACATGCTTATTTCTATTATTTAGGGGCCGTCCATTAATTACGTAAGACTATTTCAGTATTTTTCAACCCTCCTGATTTTTTCCTAACAAATCCGAGAAATAACAAAACAAATCCTAAAAATAAGAAAATCCTAGACTTCCCTCCCCCTATAAACCCTTACATAATAAGTGAAAGACCTCTGACATGAATCAGTTTGTTTTGAAACTGAACTTAACGCATGCCATTACATTCTCAGATAATCTTATAGTTAAATTTAAATCTACGAGATTACAATACCTCCCACCTTTTAGAAAATAAACACGAGTTTAGTATATGTATTAGTATCCTTGCACCATAACCAATACATAAGCTCAAATCGCTAAAACATACTAATATATACAAAGGGTGAATCCAATCTGATTTGCACCACAATGACGATTCTACTTTATCCTATGTTTTTCAGCAGATCATGGAAGCTAAATACACGCCGGAGGATTTGGAGAAGACTGTGGTAATGATGCGTGCGGGGAAATCTTACCGAGAAGCATCCAGGGATTTTGCCGTTCCATTCACCACCATAAGAGATGCCGTATTGAATCGCTACTCTCTTATTTTATTCGTATTGTAAATGTTTTTTTATTAATATCTTTTAATGAAGAGCGTCTAGAACCAGCCGAAAAGGAAAACAACGCAGCTCCCCTACAGGATATCACCAACACGCATATACAAATTACAGATAGCAGACAGAAATGGGCAAGAGAGCATTCCCAGCAGTAGCCACCAGCGAGGAATGGCCGGAAATATACATGCAAGTAGAGCGGGAGAAAATTGATAAAGAGAACGCAAAGAAACAAAGGATTGAAGCAAACCCCACACGCATCAATATATTGACGCGAAGGGGAATTATTGACTATAATATTGATGATGTGAATTCAGAAATATTGTCAATCTCGATATATTGACGTCAATATAGCATGTATTGACAATACGATTATTGTCAATAAAAGCAATCGTGTAGGGTTCACTTGAGAAACGACAAAAGAAAAAGGTTGAGCGAGAGAGGAAGAGGAGGAAGATGAGGAAATAAAGTTGGAAGCAAGAAAGCATTATAACTTGAAAAGGCAATGGCAACAATGGAGAAGAAGCAGAATAAAAGCTGCGGAAAAGAAGCAATGAAAGATCTGCATTTTTATGATTATTACTCTCTTGACGTTTTAAATTAAATTAGGTTATAGTCATTAACTTATCAATTTTATTTTTCATGTACAAAACGAAAAACTAATCCTTGATGTCAGTTCATTGTCTTTTTTTGTTGGTTTATAGATGGTTGTAATTTTTTTTTCTCACTTATCCGCCATTATAGGGCTACCATCTTAGGAACCGCTTATTCTATCGCTTGATGCCAGCGTTTCCATTATCGGTGTATTAAAGATGTTTCGGCAGTCTTCTTTTTAGTTTGCTATTATTATTTTTTATATCTTTATTAAGGATACTTTCAGCCCTGGGCTGGTTCGTCTCCTTTGCTATTATTTAGTCGACAACATTGTCCAAGCTATATCGCCCATTTTAGTCCCGGTTAATAATGTTTTGTAGCGTTGAGCTGGAGTACCCCCATAGAGGTAACTCTAAGACTAGAAGCACAAACGAAGTGACAGACGACTTACTGGCGAAGAAATCCATTAAAATAATGTGGTTTACTGTAATAGAATTTTCTTGGAAGCTTGTGCCATCATCCACCAGATGGGTTAGTTTTTTTGTTTTGATTTGAACAAAGTTGATTTTGTGTACAATGATTCTTTGACAGTGTGCAAAGAGTGCGTACAATTTTGTCATTTTTTTATGCATTTCAGTTTTGAGTAGAGTGAAAGAGATAGAACCAAAATATTCTAGTACATTTGGTGAAAATGCTAGTTCAATCCAATAGTAGTGTTGCCATGTGGTACAATCCAGTAGTAGTGGTGTTGCCATGTGGTACACTGAAAAATTGCAATAGCAGGTTAGTCACCAAAGTTTTTGAGCCGCTCCGTCTGTCACTTCGTTTGTGCTAGAAGGTCCCGAAATAACGTGCTCAACTTTTTGGCTCAGCTCTGGTACTCTCTTCGGTCCCAAGCTAATCGATTCACCCCTCGAAGCATAGGAAAAACCAATAACCCCTCATTTTATCTGTCAAACCACAAACGAAGTGACAGACGGAGCGGCTCAAAAACTTTGGTGACTAACCTGCTATTGCAATTTTTCAGTGTACCACATGGCAACACCACTACCACAGACAAACAGACATAACACTCGCAAGTTGTTCATCGAACAAGCATTTAACGGTCAATTTGAAAGTATCGTAGTTGGTAGTACCGCCACTTGTGGCGCGCATAGTCAATTCCCTTGCGTTTGACGTTTACACACTACCGCCATCTGTTCAGCGTACTACCCACCACAGTGTACTCAACAGATGGCGGTAATGTTTTAGTGATGATGTTTTACAGTGAGAAATATTCAATGTGTTATGTCTGCTTGTCTGTGCCACTACTACTGGATTGTACCACATGGCAACACTACTATTGGATTGAACTAGCATTTTCACCAAATGTACTAGAATATTTTGGTTCTATCTCTTTCACTCTACTCAAAACTGAAATGCATAAAAAAATGACAAAATTGTACTCACTCTTTGCACACTGTCAAAGAATCATTGTACACAAAATCAACTTTGTTCAAATCAAAACAAAAAAACTAACCCATCTGGTGGATGATGGCACAAGCTTCCAAGAAAATTCTATTACAGTAAACCACATTATTTTAATGGATTTCTTCGCCAGTAAGTCGTCTGTCACTTCGTTTGTGGTCAAACTTTCATAGTGAATCAAAACAAACATTGCGTAGTACTAGAATTTCGACTAGAATAGGGTACGTTAATCGTTTGCTTGGGACCAATAGGCTACTAAAGTGGTGAGCCAATTTAAAATCGTTAGTTTCGTATTGATTGTTGGTACCCCCTAGTTCCAAAGACAGCTCGGTTAGTCCTCTTTGAACCGAACAGACTACCGACCGTTCAGCAGATAAAAACTCGATTGAAATCAAACCGAGGTCGGTATTATTTTCTAAGTGTGATTGCACCTCACCGTGCAAAATTTCATCATCATCATCATCATCAAGAACCTCGTCAAGAACCCAATTCAAAATTTGAATTTTTCCAAACATTTCAACTTTGTGTGAAGCGTTCTCATGTAAAACGCACGATCTAAACGCACCACTCTGTTCCGTTTTGCACCATTCCCTCTGTCAGTGGGACGACGCTTCGTGTGTCAACAGACAAAAATTGCGGGAAAGCTTGCATCGCTGTTTCTATTCTTATTTGTACGTCCAGGAGTGTGGACCTGCTTGTCACTTTGATCGTGAACATCTATTGAAATTCACTTTAAATTGAGCATTTCTTCCATTGAACCTTCCATTCTTGTTCTTAACTAGTGTTTCCCGTTATCTTTGGCACAGGAGAGCATTCGTTAGGTGTGGAAAATGGTGCTAAAATCGAACAAGATGTACGTCTTCAAGCGAGGTAAGTGAAGCAATAAACTTCCGGATGTAGCAGCTGAAACATTGCTAATTTGTGGTCTTTTCATCGTTAGACGGTCGCAAGGAAGAAGTACACCTGGACAAGATTACATCCCGAATTCAAAAATTGTGCTATGGATTGAACATGGACTTTGTCGATCCGGTATGTTAATTTTTTACGTCTTCTTGATCTAATGACAATAGCTTTGTGGGATGTATTTAGAACTCGATGTCTCTTAACGGAAATGTAATTTTCAACTATAGGTTGCCATCACCTTGAAAGTAATCAATGGCCTTTACTCGGGTGTGACGACTCAGGAGTTGGACAATCTAGCTGCGGAAACCTCAGCTACGTTGACAACGGAACACGCCGATTATGCCATCCTGGCCGCCCGGTTGGCCGTGTCCAATTTGCACAAGGAAACGAAGAAACATTTTTCCGGTAAGTGCAATAATTGATTGAAATCATTCGAATATCTATTCAGATTGAGAGTGATCCAGTTGGAAGTACCCACAATGGTATGTTGCATGCAATGTTTTGTACAAGGAACATGTGTCGCTGCCGTTCAGGAAACTTCATGTTATGACTGCCGTTAACTGTTTATTCAGTGAAATATGGTAATAAGTAGATAAGGGTCAGTAACGTGCATCGGTTCATGTTTTGAAATTTGTTTAGCAGCTGCTAACGGATACATGAGATCTGATAATATATTATATTGCAAATGACTGTATGAAAAATCGCAGAAAGTTTCAAGTGTTGTTTTACTCGGTCCCACTAATGATAATATTTGTCCTTTCCCAGATGTGATGCACGATCTGTACATGATGGAGAATGAGCACCTGAAGAAGCGTACGCCGATGATCTCGGACTATCACTACAAGATTATCCAGGACAATGCGGATCGTTTAAACTCGACCATCATCTACGATCGGGATTTTGGCTACAACTATTTCGGATTCAAGACCCTGGAACGATCCTACCTGCTGAAGATCAAGGGAAAGATCGTGGAACGCCCACAGCACATGCTGATGCGAGTGGCTATCGGAATCCACGGTGAGGACATCGACTCTGCCATTGAGACGTACAATTTGCTCTCGGAAAGGTACTTCACGCACGCTTCGCCAACGATGTTTGCCGCGGCTACCTGTAGACCGCAATTGTCGTCGTGCTTTCTGTTGACTATGAGCGACGATAGTATTGAAGGAATCTACGAAACATTGAAACAGTGTGCCTTAATTTCCAAGTCGGCCGGAGGTATCGGCTTAAACGTGCATTGCATTCGGTCAAAGGGAACGTACATTGCCGGCACGAACGGAATTTCCAACGGTTTGATCCCGATGCTGAGGGTGTACAACAATACTGCAAAGTACGTAGATCAGGGAGGCAACAAGCGTCCAGGCGCTTTTGCTATTTACTTGGAACCGTGGCACGGTGATGTTTTCGAGTTCTTGGACCTTAAGAAGAACACCGGTGCTGAAGACGTCCGAGCAAGGGACATGTTTTACGCGCTGTGGATTCCGGATCTGTTTATGAAGCGAGTTGAGGCTAACGAAGACTGGTGTTTAATGTGTCCCCATGAATGTCCCGGGTTGTCGGATACATGGGGCGAAGAATTTGAAAAGCTGTACACTTCATATGAAAAGGAAGGTAGATTTATTCGCAAATTGAAGGCTCAAGATTTGTGGTTTGCCATTATTGAGTCGCAAGTCGAAACCGGTGTTCCGTACATGCTCTACAAAGATGCTTGTAACAGGAAGAGCAACCAGCAGAACATCGGAACGATCAAGTGTTCAAATTTGTGCACTGAAATAGTTGAATACTCTTCCAAGGATGAAATTGCTGTTTGTAATCTTGCTTCCATCGCGTTGAACATGTTCGTGAAACCAGACAAAACATATGACTTCCAGAAATTGAAAGAAGTATCCAAAATCGCAGCCAAAAATCTCAACAAAATAATTGACATCAATTACTACCCGGTGCCAGAAGCTAAGCGCTCAAATATGCGTCATCGACCAATTGGAATCGGTGTCCAGGGAATGGCAGATGCATTTATTCTGATGCGCTATCCTTACGACAGCGACAAAGCCCAGAAGTTGAATCAGCAAATTTTTGAAACCATTTACTACGGTGCCTTGGAAGCAAGCTGCGAATTGGCAGAAAAGGAAGGAGTATACGAAACGTATCCGGGATGTCCGGTGAGCAAGGGAATCCTCCAGTACGACATGTGGAACAAAGAACCGACCGATTTGTGGGACTGGGCTGCCTTGAAGGAGAAGATTGCCAAACATGGAGTCCGAAATTCACTGCTCCTAGCGCCAATGCCAACAGCTTCTACTGCTCAAATTCTCGGAAACAACGAATCCTTTGAACCGTACACTTCCAATGTTTACAATCGGCGAGTGCTATCCGGTGAATTCCAGGTAAGTTGCAACACTCCACATGGTTTAGATGTAGAGATCTAACAATATGTATCCCTCCCCTTTAGATCGTTAACCATCATTTGCTCAAGGATCTTACCGAGCTGGAGTTGTGGGATGACGATATGAAGAACACGATCATCGCGTCGAACGGATCAATTCAGAATATCGAACAAATCCCGCAAGAAATCCGCGATCTTTACAAGACTGTCTGGGAGATTTCCGTCAAGAACTGTATCAAGATGGCTGCTGATCGTGGCGCGTTCATTGATCAGTCGCAGTCGTTTAACATTCACGTTGCCGAGCCAAACTATGGTAAACTGACGTCGATTCACTTCTACGGTTGGAAGATGGGTCTGAAAACGGGCATGTACTATCTGCGTACGAAACCAGCAGTTAATGCCATTCAGTTCACCGTTGACAAGACCAGACTGAATCAATCGAACCGAATGAACAGTAGCTCGGTCGGAGGATCCCCGTCGAAGATGAATGGCAGCACCAGCACTCCGAGTAAGATGAGCGGTGCTGTGGCCAAGGGAAGTGTGTCACCAGATTTGGCGGCGGACAACGCCCAGCAACAGGCGAATGGTTCCGAAGCGGAGCGCAACAGAAGGATGGCCGAGATGGTTTGTTCGCTGGAGAATAAGGAAGATTGTATGATGTGCGGATCGTAACATGTGAAAGGTTGTAGCAAAAATAGGGAGGCGCAACTTGCTTAATGTATGATAGACCTTAGTTAAGTGCACCTGATTTAATTTTCATTCACTAGACGTTTAATTTCGAGGATTTTAACTGCCAGTTCATCATCATCCTTTTGTACCTATTTTCATGTATTTGTGTTTTTGTGTTTTTGTGTCAAGAGACGAACCAGCAAAAGGCTGAAAGTCTATAATAATGCAAAAGAAGAAAAATAAGAAGAAGAATGTATTTGTGTTAAGATTGGTGAAATGGAGCAGCAAAATATACCAAATTCCAATAAAAGGACTAGGCTCATTTGAAAACATTAAATAGTGTTCGAAAATATGATACTTTGATTTGAAAAATAAAAAAAAAAGACTTATAGATATCAACGAACGTTTCGATTTTTATTGCAGTTGTAGAATCTTTTTAAGCCTCTTCTAGCAAAAAATGACATAGCTCCCACTGCGTCAGTTCGTACCCGATTTTTAAGAAACAGTTTTCAATCGATACAGGAATAATTAAAGGAAATTAATTATTCATAGTATAAACCAAGGCGAGTACATATAGGTGTTCTAATGTGTCAAATTTATGATTCAGCCATGTTCGATTTTTGTATGGATGAGCGACCGAGTTTGCTTACAATTTGCCCTAAAACCGGTACTATTGGATTGTACCACATGGCAACACTACTACTAGATTGAACTAGCATTTTCACCAAATGTACTAGAATGTTTTGGTTCTATCTCTTTCACTCTACTCAAAACTGAAATGCATAAAAAAAAATGAAAAAATGATACGCACTCTTTGCACACTGTCAAAGAATCATTGTACACAAAATCAACTTTGTTCAAATCAAAACAAAAAAACTAATCCATCTGGTGGATGATGGCACAAGCTTCCAAGAAAATTCTATTACAGTGTACCACATTATTTAAATGGATTTCTTCGCCAGTTAGTCGTCTGTCACTTCGTTTGTGGTGATAGTCCGTATGTAAACGGAATCTCATTGGTTAGAGAATTTTGATAGGTTAGCAGGTATAAATATGAGGTACCTAAGCTCGTTGAAGACGATAGTTTATTCCAAACGTTTATTCGCGTTGTCAGTAGTGTCGGTCGCATCGTGTGATGGGAAGACAGCGCTCCCGGAGCAGGCTCCGTGAGAAAGCGGAGAAGAACAGTGGTGAGTGTAGCACGAGTGTACCTATTTCAAATAGGTACGCTACTCTTCCCACCGATGTTGGGGATACTACCTCTGCCACGGTGAAGCGATCCAAGAAGAGGAAGAAAAACCAAGGCCAGTCCGGTGGTGCGAGTGGACGTGAAGACGTCACAGCAACGAACACCAGCGACATCGGTGATTTCGGTAACACCATCGACAACGAAAATTCTACCGGCCCGAGTGGGGCAAAAGTGAAGCTACCTCCATTGGTAGTGAAAAATGCTCATCTAAATGAGCTCATAGCGGATCTAACGACGCTGGGCGTTAAAGCCGAATACAAGTTGGGCAGAGTCGGCACCAAGGTGGTGCTCCCCACCAAAGCGGAGTATGACTTGGACATCGCCCACCTGAGGACTTCCAAGGCGGAATTCTTCATCCACGACATTCTCGGTGAGAAACCATTCAAGGTCGTCATCAGGGGTATAACTGATGTAAGAACTTAGCACTCACCTACTACCTACTCGGAGATCAAACATACAGCACCCGGTCGACTCAGGCGACAAGAGCAAGCTCCGGAACACCCAGGGTCGGCTAGCTACTGGGTAATCAGAGGGTTTCGCCATACAAAAACGAAGAACTTTCACTTTTCTTTAAACGCATTTATTTGCCACTTTCTGTATTATGTGCGTGTTGTTCTGTGTTCATTTTTTTTTTTTTTTTTTTTTTTTTTTTTTTTTTTTTTAACTCTTTATTTGTTCCAAATTCAAAATAAATTACATTTCATTTTAACCTAGGTGCTCCAGTTACTGCAGTAACGTACCAGCCTTAATTGTTATGATATATATCTAAGTGTTTTTACATTTTTCATGTCTTGGCAATTCAGTATTTTAAACAGGTTTTTTAACCTGCATGTCAGTATAACAATTGATATCTTAAAACTAAAAACTAAAACTAAATCTTATCTAAGTATAAAGGGAATTAATCGTTGCAATTGAGGATTGCAACGATTTTTGCCTGAAATTATTAATTATTTTGTTGGACATTTGTGCTAAAGTCTCAACATTCGAAATTCTATGTACTTCGGTAGTACTGTACCAGGGAGGCAACTTCAAAATCATTTTCAGAATTTTGTTCTGAATCCTTTGAAGTGCTTTTTTCCTGGTAGTGCAACAACTAGACCATATTGGCACAGCGTAAAGCATGGCCGGTCTAAAAACTTGTTTAAATATTAGAAGTTTATTCGTCAGGCAAAGTTTGGATTTCCTGTTTATAAGAGGATACAAACATTTTATATATTTGTTACATTTGGCTTGAATGCCCTCAATGTGATCTTTAAAAGTTAATTTTTGGTCAAGTATTAATCCAAGATATTTCACTTGGTTTGACCAGGAAATTGGAACTCCGTTCATAGTGACTACATATGTGACTACTACTAGGTTTCAAAAACGAAGCTCTAGGCTTATGTGGAAATATTATAAGTTGAGTTTTGGAAGCGTTGGGAGAAATCTTCCATTTTTGTAAATAAGAAGAGAAAATATCTAAACTTTTCTGCAGTCTGCTGCAAATAACACGAAGACTTCTTCCTTTAGCGGAAATGCCTGTGTCATCAGCGAACAAAGATTTGTGGCAACCCTGAGGCAAATCAGGGAGGTCCGAAGTGAAAATGTTATACAATATAGGCCCAAGAATGCTACCCTGAGGAACTCCTGCCCTAACAGGTAGTCGATTAGATTTGGAATTTTGATAATTTACTTGAAGAGTTCTGTCAGTTAAATAATTTTGAACTAATTTCATAATATAAAGTGGAAAATTAAACTTTTTCAATTTAGCAATCAAACCTTTATGCCAAACACTGTCGAATGCTTTTTCTATGTCTAGAAGAGCAACTCCAGTTGAGTGGCCTTCAGATTTGTTTGAACGAATTAAATTGTTAACTCTTAAGAGTTGATGAGTAGTTGAATGCCCATGGCGAAATCCAAACTGCTCATCTGCAAAAATTGAGTTCGTATTGATGTGAAGCAATTCAAAGCTATTCAAAATTATCTTTTCAAAAAGTTTACTTATTGAAGAAAGCAAACTTATTGGACGGTAGCTAGAAGCTTCAGCTGGATTTTTATCCGGCTTCAAAATTGGAACAACTTTTGCATTTTTCCATTTATCAGGAAAGTATGCCAAATGGAAACATCTGTTAAATAATTTTACCAAGAAAGACAAGGTACTCTCTGGGAGTTTTTTGATGAGGATATAGAAAATTCCATCATCACCTGGAGCTTTCATATTTTGAAACTTTTTAGTTATAGACCTTACTTCGTCCAAATCAGTCCCCCAGGAATCATCAAAAATATTTTCCCGAGAGCAAATATTCAGATATTCCCGAGCAACCTGATTCTCAATAGGACTAGTAAGACCCAAACTGAAATTATGGGAACTCTCAAATTGCTTAGCAAGTTTCTGAGCTTTTTCCAAATTTGTGATCAAAATTTTACCACCTTCTTTAAGCGCTGGAATTGGCTTTTGAGGTTTTTTCAAAATTTTTGTGAGTTTCCAAAAGGGTTTGGAACTCGGGTCTAATTTAGAAATATTATTTTCAAAAGTTTTGTTCCTCAGGGCAGAGAATCGCTTTTTAATTTGTTTTTGCAAATCCCGCCAGATAACTTTCATGGCAGGATCGCGTGTTCTTTGATATTGTCTCCTACGGACATTTTTAAGACGGATCAAGAGCTGAAGATCATCGTCTATTATAATTGAATCGAATTTAACCTCGCATTTTGGTACTGAGGCAGCTCTTGCTTCAACTATAGAAGTAGTCAGAGATTCAAGAGCATAATTAATTTCATCTTTGGTTTGCAAAGGAATGTTTGGATCGAAGTTATGTTCCATAAATGTTCGATACTGCTCCCAATCAGCTCTATGGTAATTGAAAGTAGAGCTGTTGGGATTAGAAATTATTTCTTGGGATATTTCAAAAGTTACTGGAAGGTGATCAGAACCGAAGTCAGCATGGGTAACCAATTGGCTACAAAGTTGACATGAATCAGTTAAGACCAAATCAATAGTGGAGGGATTTCTTGCAGAAGAAAAGCATGTTGGGCTGTTTGGATATTGAATAGTGTAATAACCTGCAGAACAATCATCAAACAGAATATTACCATTGGAATTGCTTTGAGCATTATTCCATGAGCGGTGTTTTGCATTAAAATCACCAATAATGAAGAATTTAGACCTATGACGGGTAAGTTTCTGGAGGTCACCCTTGAGAAAATTCTTTTGCTGGCCTACGCATTGGAATGGCAAATAGGCAGCTATAAACGTAAGTTGTCCAAATTTTGTTTCAACAGAAACTCCCAAAGTTTCAAAAACTTTGGTTTCAAATGAAGAAAGAATTTTATGTTTGATTCGTCTATGAATAATGATGGCAACGCCACCACAGGGTCCATCAAGACGATCATTTCTATAAATCAAGTAATTTGCGTCCTTCTTAACCTTATGGTCAGGTTTAAGGAACGTTTCAGTTATAACGGCAATATGCACGTTATGAACTCTCAAAAAATTAAATAGCTCGTCTTCATTATCTTTAAGAGATCGAGCATTCCAATTTACAATATTTAATGCTTTAAAATCCATTACTGAATTTTAAAGTCATGACAATATTATTTGCAAATTTTACTCCAGTTTGAATAGCATCAAACATGGAGTTAGATTTAAGCATATCAGAAATCATGTCAATTAATGAATTCTGTAAAAATTCCATTTTGGGGGCAGTAATGCTTCCTAAGTCAAAATTGTCAAAATTTCCGTTAGAACGTTGGTTAGTATTTTGATTTCTACCCGCTGCAATAGCAGCATAGGTAGCTCCATTAACTCGCTGAACATTGTTAGCAGCGAGGGGAGTAGGTACAGATGAAACATTTGAAGCAGGGGATATATTTGTACCTACGGGTACGAATGTAGAATTTGTTCCTCGCTGACCGTTGTTAACAGCAGAGGAATTTGTACCTGTTCGGAAACGTGGAGCGTTTCCTACCTGACGGTTAGAACGAGATTGTAGGATCGCTTTGCGAGTCTTACATTCCCAAAAATTGGATTTGTGGTTTTCACCACAATTTGAACATTTAAATTTCTTAGGATCTTCCTTCACAGGACAGTCGTCCTTTGC